TATGCTAATATGTTAAACGAACATATGTCTCTCAATGAATTATAATAAAAATTGCATGTATAATAATTATAGAATAATTAGAAAAAAGTCTAGCTGATAGGCCGTCAAAGATAGTTGACAAAGTAGTTGACATTTAACCTGCCCATGGTTAATTCTTAAAAATTCTGTACATTGGCAGAGCAAATGTAATGTTATTAAAAAAAATTTTTTTATTTGAAATAGTGAATATAGAATTATTAAATTATAAAATAAAATAAAATATATACCCTGCCATGACTTGATTTAAAGCTCTCACATTGATTGCCCTCTAAGGTTAAACTAGGCAAATGAGACTGTGTTGGCAAACTGAATCCTTCACAACAGGGATTGTTTGCACCAATTCTTCATCCTTGACCTCGGAATGCTATGTAAGCTGTTTAGGTGTCCCTCAAGGCCAGAGGACTGTTTTTATATTGAATTTTATAGTTATTTCTATGTTAGTGCTATTGATATCCTGAACTTTTGAATTTTAGTTGTGGCCACTGATGAACTGAGGAGACTGAAAGCCTCGCCTCCTAGTGGCTGACAAAGCAGCAGCTGTTTCTTGTTTGAAGTCCTCACAAAAAATGATCTCCATCCCCAACCATCTGATGAGCAATAAATGAAGATACTCTAGCCAGCAAACCTTCCTGATGACTAATCTCACATCTCTCCTGAGTAAGCAACTCTAAACATATCAGACGGTGTCGATCTCAAGTGCTTGAAAGCCCAGATAAATGATCTGCCTCCAAAAGGACGTGTTTCCATGGAGCTGTTTGCATGATGCTGCTGATGAATCTTGGCTGAGATTACTTTCGTGCCTTGTTTTTTTGTAGTAATAAACCCTCCTTGTCTTTTTCTTTTCACACTTTCATTGCAATCCAAGCAACAGATGATTTAAGACACATGGTTGATGTCATCAGGGCCAATGTCTAGACTTTATGGAGACTTTAAGATAAGTATTAAAAGTTCACTCTTTTTTTTTCATCTTTAAAAAAAAAAAGAACAATGGCTGAATATGAATAAATTATTCTACAATCCTTTTAAGATCAAAATGATCCCTGTTAGTTGCACAAAAACTCTCCTTAATCATGATTTCTTATCACAGCATGATTGTGGATATGACATTTTAAATTTCACTGACCCGGCATTTGTTTTCAAATTCTGTCCAGCTGTTTTCATGAAATATTTTTTGTCTCAGGTGGTTGCATAATTCATGCTGTGCTATTCAAACACCCAAACACCAAACAGAACAAGTAAACAAAAAAAGAATTGTTTTCAGACAGAGAACACCTGCTCTTTTAAGAATATTACTCTTAATCAAGCAGCTATGAGCTATTTGTTTTTAGTGTTTAACTAAGCATTTTATCCAGTGTAACAGGACGGCATTAGTGAAAAGATAACAGTTTAGCAATTCCTGTGTTTCATAAGGGTGGTCTCATTTACTTAAAAATGAAGAACTGTTTTGACAGTATTATGAGTCAGGCAAATTCTAAATTATACAAATATGTGCTAATGAGAATGAGCATGTATGCAAGTTTTGTTTTTAATTAAAGCATAGGAAGTAGGTCAACTTGAGCAGCGTAAAAGCTGGAAAATGTGCACATCTTTTAAAAGCCTTTCAAATATTTTAATGTCAATGGTACATGCAAATATTTGCAGCTGGGACAAAACAGGTCTGTTTTTTTGTTGTGTAATGGATTTATAGTTTCTGAGTTCCAAGGAACAATGATTTGCTTCAATGTACAGTACAGTAACTACGAAGTTTTGAGTCAAAAGTCAGTTACACAAATATGTTTTCTCAAGCAGTGGTTTTGTACACTTCCATTAATTTATTTTTATTTTTAAGAAATTCGTATTTTTATACAGCAAGAATGCATTAAATTGAAAAAAAGTGACTAAATATTTTACATTGTTATAATCTATTTCAAATAACAATAATATTTCAAACTATTACTGTTTTTACTGTAACTGTACCAACCCCACACTTTTAAATGGTAGTGTTTCAAACATCTAATTCAAAAATCTTGCAAATGATGTCCTAAAAAACTAATTCAAATACATTTTTGCTACAGCTGTTGTGTAAACAAGTGAACACAATATAACCACACTAATATATTCACCAGTAGTTTTGATATCATGTACCTAATGTACTGAATTAAGATATGAAGTGTGTGGTATAAATACTCAAATACTTTTTAGAGCCAAATATTTATGAATCTAAAATGTAATTTTTTCCCCCTAAACCTGCGTTTGCGTCAAGTCTGAGAAAGAGGGGCCGGGTGAAAAAAACCCTCTCCAATATTTTGAATTTGGACTGCAATACCTAGTTCAACCACTCGGTGTCAATCCTACATACAGCACCTTTAAACTGATAGCTGACACATGACTCTTTGTGAAAATGTCTGAGAACAGAAAATGAAGTTGTGGGATTTACTGCCGCTCTACATCAACAACACAATCTGTGGCCAGGACGAAACCTACGATTTATATTAACACACACACACACACACACACACACACACACACACACA